GTCACTTATGCAGAAGTTTCTTGTTGCAACTGAAGTCGCTCGATCGGAATGTGACACAAGATTTTGTGCAGTCTTGACGGCAAGGCCTTGGGCCTTGTCACAAGACAAATGCAGTTGGCCAAAAAATAGGGAAAATAGGGAAGAAGAAGGGCAACCGCAAAGCTTGTGCAAACTAACGGATGCGGCGCCTAGCTACTGTTTCCGCTTTCCTGTTGCCGTTACCGTTACTGTTAGCATTTATGACCCCGCATCCCGTCCCCGCCTCCATCACCTGTCTAGTTGTCTGGTAGTAGCCGCACCCGCAACAATGTTGCATAATGGGGCAACGTTTAGTGTGAAATTCTTTTAGCGGTTTTTCGTGCGCCTTTGACTGCTTGCCCTGCCCCTGCCCCTGCCCCTACTCCAAACTAAGCTTTTCTTTTGAAATTGCGCGCATAAACTAATTTTGCATGCATGAAATGATTTTCATAGTAGAGTAAAAATGAGAAAATTGCAGAGTTGCCGCCAGCTGCTGGTGCAGTGTTGTCGCCCCTCTGTGGCCGGGCATATGCTCCATCCATTAGGGTTAAGTTGCGTTCCTCATGCGTTCTGTGCGCTGGGCCTGGCCCCACACGCTAATTGTGTCACAATGATGAGCATAATTTGCGCGCCCAGACACACCAGGCTTGGGCAAGTGGGTGGAAGGGGAGGGGATGGGACACCGTTAGAAAAGCGCAGTCGGAAATTAAGCATACGCCCCGTGCGCGCGCTTGTGTGTGTGCGTGTGTGTGCAACATTTATGCACAATGGCAGCACTAATTTTCCGTTAGTAAGTAATTGCATTTTGTTTGCCACTTTGCAGCACGCTTTAGCTCACCTTACACCCGCTGGCACTTGCCCCTCACCCCGCTCCCGCCAGCTTGCTGCATTTAGTTGGGTATTGTGCTCATTACTGGCATTTCATTAAATGTAACCGGAAGCCTTACTGTTCGCTCGTCAACTTTTTGGCGTATCCATTACGTTGTGTGGCGTCACTTGATCCTAATGCAAACCCCCCAGCCCCAATCCCTCAAGCTTGTCTACATTTTGGCAGCAGACACCGCTTTTAATTAGCATCAAACTTTCATACTGTCTGCTTCTGTATCGTTTTGTTGTGCCAATTTAAATGGCTACACACACACACACACACACATTCACACACACGCACACGCTTAGCTACGCCTTTTATATAGAATATGCTGTCATATGTTTGGCTCATGATGAATGATGCCGCCAATTGTTTGGTTTTTGTTTTGTTTTTGTTGGCACATTGCAAACAGCGAATGTTGGAAAAGTGGAAAAAGCTTAGCAATCCATCCACCCACAAACCCTCCCCCTGCCCGTCACCTACTACACCATCCACAACCCTTAGCTGCCGGCCCCGGCCTATTCGTTTTGGCAGTAAACATTTTCGACTTGACAGCAGCCTTACGTATTTCTCTGCTGCCTGTCAGTCTTTTGCCCAAAAACTCTGTTTGTATACTCTGTAATCGTTAAGCGATTTCTTGTACTGCCGCTCCCCCTATTCCCGCTCGCCATTGGCCCAGTGTGGACGCTTTTGTTTGCCTGCCTCGTACAAGAAAAGTAATTTTATGTAATTTGTTAAGTAATATCCTTCGCTCTGTTTGCCTGCATGTCTCAACAGGATGTGGCAGTGCGAACGTATGTGGCCATGTGGCCTGAGCCTGTGCCTGTGTGGCTGTAACTTGATGGATTTACTGCTGCTCTGCTGCTGCTTACTGCGGCTCTTCTGCAGTATTTCGGCTGTTAATTAGAAAACGAAAACATCAAAGTGCCATTGTCGCAGCTTAAAGCCGCTTGAGCCTCATCAGTTGCCAACTGATTTTCACAGCACTCGAATATCTGTGCTGTTTATTTTTCTCTTTTAACTTATTTTGTGCGAAATCGAAATTGAAAGTTCCGTAAAGCTTCTAAATGGTAAAGACAACTGCCAATATTTCTTCTTTAATAATTGACATGTGCATGCATAGATCTGCACATTCCCAAACGAGTTTGCTTCCTTTAAATATATCTTGCTATTATTTTGCAAAAATGTTTCTTAAAATTTAGAATTATTAAGACTGCAGTCGGGCAGACGGAGAAAGTGTAAGCTAACCCTGTGCCCAAAGTCTGTCAAATCGAGTCTTTTTTAAACAGACAAGAAGCTAGTTGGTGGAACTGCTTAATAAATTCATGCATATTCTTCTTATCCTGTAGCGAAAGTCTGTCAAAACATGTTTATTGAAAGACGCAAAGTTGGTCGAACAGTGACCAATTATCTGCCAAAGAAAATCGTACAGATTATTGGTCAGACGGTCGGTCAAACGTATGACAGACCAATTTGGCCAATTTTAGTTGGCCAATGACGGCCTGTTGGCCTGTAGAGAGGGAAAAGGAAGTGTCAAATTTTGTTTTCGCCTTCCTGAAACATATTTCGTGTTGGGTCTTTTTAAGCAAAGACCCACAACGCATTTAAGCCGTGTCTCGGATGGGAACCAAGTACACCCCTTCTCCATTTTTTAGATGCTGGCAACACAGGAAGGTGGATCAGTCCACTGTCTCAATAATAAATAGACCAAGCTATTACAATTAAATATATTTTTGTTGCCTGGAGGCGAGAAATTTGCACACAATCCAGACCGCATACAACTCGAGCTAACAGTCATAATTGAAACGTTTTTTCGATTGTCTCGCCTTGTCGCGTGCAACATGTGGCATGAGTAATTATGTGTTGGCGACCAATCAAATTGCTGTCAACAAAGACGAAGCCAGAGCCAAAGCCAAAGTCATAGCCGGAGTCCTCGCCGCGTGGCCCAGACTCTATGCAATTAAAAATTTGCACTTTGGGCCAAAAGCCTTTTTGGCTCACGTCGCACAAATTGTTCGTACGTGTTTTTTCTTCTTCGCCTTGTAATAACAACAACAACTACAACAAGAATAACAACAACAATAAAGCATGCCACAACAAGCGTTGTGCTCAGCCCTTTGCTGCTTTCTAATTGGAAACGCTTTTCATTATAGCGCAAATGAAAATCAATGTTCGACATGGCTGTCCTTTGGTTTGAGTAATTAAACACAATCAACTGGCAAGTTTTCCCTTTTTGTTTTTTTTTTTCTTAATAAATCCCCCTGCAGGACAAGTAATGGCCGGGAAAGAGTTCAGTTCAGTTCAGGATCGGTTGCCGGAGATTTGGGGGAGGGGGGAGCAGCAACAAATCCTTAGACGGTCGGCGCCTTAATCCAAACACACACGCACACAAATCAATTTGCCCCAGGGCTGAGCTCGAGTCCTGCCAGTGAAAATGAAGCAATAAATAAGCGGTAATTGGAAGTGATGAACGAAAGGATATGCTGCCCGGGCGAGAACAAGCCGCAGGCCACAGTCCGGCCAGAGGCTTGGACCATGGACAAGGGAACAGGGAGACTGCACTGAGCCAACACATTGCGCTCAAATCTCTAATCAAATGTCAATTTCTTATTCAATAACAACAACATACGAGCCAAGTCTTGGACCCTACCACTTTCCAGTGTAGTCGAGTGTGCGGGCGTGCAAAAAGAAATATAACCAAGGAGTAAATCTCTTAACGATTCGCTGCCTTCCACTGCACAGCAGCAACTGGCATTGTCCTTGCTCGCACGTCCTTGACGTAGTATAAGCCATTAAATGTGCTTTTTGGCCAATTATTACGCGCGATTTATGCTTTTATTTGTCAACAAAGTTAACAGCAAGCGAAGCAAACTATTAGATATCGTGAGAGAAGGAGCGCGGTTCAAGTTTAAGTATTGCTCGCTGGTGGGTCAACAAGCGTGTAATAGATGCTGCAGCTGGCTGTGAGTGGCTTATTTTTCATATATATACCTTACTTTAGCTACAAATCGATAAACAGACACAGAAACTTGTGCTTGTTTAGTTAAATTCTTGCAATGCTTTCATGTATTTTCTCCGGATTTAGTTGGAGACTTAACAACGTCAATTGTTCGATGTATTTTGGGAAATGCTTGTAGCAAGAAAAAGTTATTTATTTGCTCTAAATGCACTGCGAACTTTAGCCAGCTTAAAATCTGATGAAAAGCTTCAACTAGAATGAATTGTTGCTATTTATATATATTTTTACTGCTCATATTCAGCTTTACATTCATGTTCAGAATGCCTGAATGTATGAGTTAAATGCAATCATTAAATTTTTCGATATTGCCTTTCTATGCGATTCTCATGATTTTAAGTAATGCTTATTGTTAAGGTGTAAGTAGGTTGTTAGGTTGGGTAGATAAGTTAGGTCATAAATAGGCGTAAAGGTTAAAAAGGGAGGGGGAAAAGTTCGTGCTAGAAAAAGAACAGAGTTGTAAATATAGAATATAAGTTATATCAGCTATGACATGTACACTTCGAATATTAATACTTCAGAAGGATGAACCTTAGATTCATATGAAAGTAGGGTTAATTAAATGATGTTAGAAACGAGATACAGGAGCATAGATAAATAGCATACGGATAGAAAATGAAGATAGCGATAAGAAAAGAATGAAAGCGCGATAGAGAACAATACAAAATAATAACAAGAATTTGAAAAGCAAACAGTAAAGATTTATCATTATTAAAAGTGTAGCAAGAGAATGATGTGCAGAGAGACAGAGAGCTTAGTGATATATACAGGAAAAACTAACGCATTTTCCATTTTCACAGGTTACACATAAAATATATGTATATTTATATTAACAAATCTACTTAAAATCTGTTGCAATTTTTGAAACAATTTAAAATCTTGTATACTTTTTACTCAAACTTACGTTTAAGTTGCTTTGCCTTCTCAAGGTCCACGCTTTCGCTTACATACATAGATACATATATGCTATTACTTATGCCACCTAGTCTTAAATTTGCATTTATTTGCTTACAAAAAAAAATCACGCAGCTTGAACTTTGCTTTTTTACAACGAATTTTAATTTTAATTTGCACATTTTACTCTACCTTTTATTTTAGCACAAGAATCTGCGAAAAATGATAATAATAAACCACAAGGTAATATGCACTCCAAAATTTTTAGTCTTAGATGTGTGTAGATTTAACTTTGCATGCCGTAAGCGGAAATTGCCTAGACTTTTCTATTTTCCTTTTTAATAGTTTTCTTTACTTTTGTGTCTTGCTTTGACAGCAATTTAAATAATCATATTTTATGCGAATGGCTTTCAAAATGTCATTAAAATAGATGTCATGTCTTTGTCCCATCCTAGCTGTTGTTTTTGTTCTTGTTCTTGTTGTTGTTGTTGTGTGTAGCTTGGCATTAGATTTGGCCTTTGTCATTGTCATCGTAAGAGTCCCTGCCGTTGTCCTTACTCGCCGAGTGCAGCCGACAGCCAAAAGTAATGACAAAACGCAGCGGGTTATCATTTTCATATTGAGACATTTGCGAACCCGAAACGGCCTCAGCCCTAAGCCACAGCTTAGTGAGGGGAAGGGGGAGGCAGGATTCAAGGATGCAATATTGAAAATCCCTTTGGCATTGACTGCACTTGTCTGAAGTCTAGAGTCTGTCGTCTGGTTGCCAGTCTCCAGCTTCAGCTGAAGCTCTTGCCTCGGCTTTGGCCTTGTCCTCAGTGTTGGCCTTTTTGCTCGGTCGCCGTCTGTTATCATCTTTGTAATTGAATTCGGCAACAACACAATAAATTTTGTGGCACTAAGCAAGTGGAGTGGGCGTGGCTGTGACACTAAAAGGGCTGCCAAAATACACACAACATTGTTGATGGGAGAGTGGACTGAGGGGGCGGGGGCGGGGTTGGGGTCTGGGGGCGGCTGCAGTAAAAAAGGGAAAATTTAATTTCTGGCCCGAATAATAAATCACAAACATAACACAGCGAATGGTCGAAGAAACGTGGCACAAACAAATAAAACAGCGTAAAATGTTTCAGCCTGGAGGACACTCGATGTCGCCAGAGATAAAATCCCCCCACTTTGCGGCAGCTCTGTTGACTAAGGGCAGGGCGGGGCGGGGCGGGGCACGGGTGGGTGTGGGTGTGGGTGGACTGTGAAAGTGGGGCTTGTTGCCCAATTTGAAATGCGTTGTCGATGCCCATCGTCGAGCGCGTTGTGCTGTTGCATTTATCAAAAATTGTATTTCCTGCTACGCTGCCATGTGGCCAAGGAATTGCAGAGGAAAAACCACTCCCCCCCCTCCCTCAGCTCCATATATAGTATATATTTTATTCATTTTGACAGTGGGCATGGAGGGGGGGTGGGGTGGTAAGGTGGGTTGCTTGCTGCTTGAACGAGTTGAGCGAATGTTTGCTTTATTAAATTTTTACGCAAATGTGCGACACGCGCATATGAATAATAACAACAAGGAGTAAAATAACGAGACTACACGACTAGCAGATGCCACGCAAAACACATGTCGGATGATAACAAAGAGGCAAGAAGCATACGCTCGACTTGTAGATACCCCTTCCCGCGCCATTTTTTCGAACTTAGACGATGCCTAAGAATTTGCCCTGTCAGCTACCGTATCCTACCTTGTTTGCATGTCAAGTACAGGGTATATTAAGAACAAAAGACAACAATGTCTCATAGTGCTCTTTGGCAATGCAACAAGCATAAATAAATACACACGCATTACGTGGGCGTGGCCCCATTCGAGGGCCGTTTCGTATTTATGCAAATGAAAAGTGGACAATTTTTATGTGCATATCATTTTTTTATGGCGGACGCACAACTGATAGATGAGGTTTTTGGCTTGGGCGTGAGGGGGGCGCGGCTGACCCACTCAGCAACAGCAGAAGCAGCAATGTGCTGTGATTTTTATGATAGTGTTGCCTAGGGTACACACACCCCACACACACACACCCCCTCCCACACACAGCCATAAATAATGCTGCAAAGCCAAAAAACAAATACGAGTAGTAAACAGAAATTGTGAATAATATGCAATAATGCAAAAGGCCAACAGTAGGGGTATTCCGCAACTGCCAACAGCTGGGATATGGCATGCAGTCGCATATCGCAAGAAAAAAATCAGCTTTGTGAAGACTCTGGGGAAAGATACACGCAACCATCTCGCCCACGCTTTGGGCTCCTCCTGCTCCCGTTCTCGTTCCCGTTCATGTGCCTGTTCCCGTTCCCGTTCCCGTTCCTGTTTCTGGTCGCATGTGTGCGTGCAAGTGTTTGGCTGGCTTTAAGTCACAGCAGGACGTGACATCGTTGCATAGCATTTGCATAACTATATGACCACCAAGAGGCAGCAACATCAGCGACAGTCTCCACTGCCAAACCCCCCTCCCCCCTCCCCCCTCCTCCCTGCGCCACAAACTACCCTCCACAGTCTGCTGCTCTAGCGCCCGCTATTTTTATCATTTCCGTTTTTTGTATGACACATTTTTCCTTTTTTTATTCTTTTCATTTTTTTTCCTCTGTAACGCGCTTGCATAATTTTCATTGTTTTCATTTTATTCGCGAATTTTCTGCACTCTGTGCTTGTTTTTTTTTTATCATTTTATTTCACTTCTTGTTTTGTGGACCGTTTCCTGCTCTGATTTCTGTTTGCATTTCAAGTTATTCGCCTGAGAGATTTTAGTGTGTAAAGTAATAAAACTTAAGCATAAAGGCGTTAAAGGAGTTCCAAAAGAAGCTCGACTCTGCAGTAAAGAAATGCGAGGGGGGGGGGGGGAGAATTATGAGAGCTGGTGCCTTCGGTGTGCTCCTTTCAGTTTGAGTGCAGCCCTGAAAGCGGCTATATAACTTTATGAATGCCGTAAAAGTGGAAAAAGTAACCAATTTTATGCAAAAACACGATAGTAAATATCAAAATGTAAATTACGTTTCTGATATGAAATTCGATATTTCTTGAAGCAACGAAAGTTCAAACCTTTTGTTTGAGAAATAAACCTTCTAGCTTTAATATTCATATGCAAGTTAATATTCATTGTAAATTCATGTAGACTTACGATGTTGCACACAAAATATAACAAAAATAAATAAAACTTAAAAGTCCTATTTAAAAGTAAAGTAAATTCTAAGCTGTCCGGCAAGAGGTCAATGTTTGGTTTAGAACGTCCAACAACAACAAGAAAGTATAAACTTGAAGAGTAAGCAGGTTTTTTGTGCAACTTGCACAAAGACCTCTCAGTTTTATTATCAGCAGACTTTCCTATTGACTCTAGATTTGCAAGGCCTATTGACTCTAGATTTGAGGATTATAAGCAATGAAAAGGCGACAAAGCTAGCAAAACCAAAGCCTACTACTTTTTGCTAACCCCTGCTGCATACACTGTGTGTTGTGAAAGTTATATAGCATTAATATTCATTCTGAAATAATGTTAATACAAAATAGAGGTTTAACTACAAATTAATAATCGTATTCGAAGATATAAAGAAATGGTTGGTGTATAATTCAGTAAAAATAATGTAGTACTGGATTTATAATATTCTTTTCAATTTTGATTTCTAAACAGAATATTATGAGTTCTTCTATTATTTCATTTGAAAACATTTTGTATAAGGCATAAGGCTTACCTGTAGTTATAAGCAAAACAAGCTAGGCCGATTTGACGTAAGAAAATATCTTTCATTTAGTTAAAGAGAACTGATATTAGCTATTCTCAATCTAAGTTATCTTGGGCGTCTCCGCTTTGAGTCGAGTGACTCTCATAGGCTCTCTATTAACTTGTTCGGAAATAAAGAGTTATTTAGGCGCAGCCAACTTAACATGCACTTGCAACAATATTTTGCGTTGCCAGATCGCTCAAGTATCTTAATAATATCGATTTAAAATATGAAAACATTAGCTCATCTTATTGTAAGTGTGCCATTAGAACGTTATACCCGTTGGCCTAGTTAAAACACTTACGTATACGTAACTCCCACATGCTGAGGACAAGCGTTGCCAACTGTTCCATTACCAAGACCATTTGCAGACATTATTATCATTGGCGAATGATTATCGCTGGCCTTTTGACATTCGCCAGCTCGGATTGCCATTGGCATTGTTGGCAGCTCTCAGCCAGAATAATCACGGGTATTCGAATTTTTAGAACTTTCTAATATAGGAAATAAATGCGGGCCGGGCACAGACAGGAAAAATCTCTCCCGCTCGTGTTGGCAAATGTGAGTCGTTTTTCCAATTTTACAGCCACTTTGCCAATGCTCAGTCAATTTTTGCAATTCAAATGGTTTTCAGCTCTTCTTCTTCGTCTCAATATTGTTTTTGTTGTTGTTGCTGTTGAGCTGTAGCCAAGACGGCTGCCAGGACGACGACGCTTGAGGCGCTAAACGAAGATGAGGAGGAGCTGGAGGAGCTCATGCTCTACTCAAGTCAATTCTTTTTTTTATTGAACTTTTCCTTGGTTCTTTTCTTTTATTTGGCTCATTTATGGCGCATATTGCGCATTTAATCGCCGTCAACATTTGCCATGTAACGGGCATGGAATATGTGCGCTTCTTCTAATATGTACATATGCCGTAGACTCCGTGTATGTGTGTGCGAGTGTGTGTGTAAGTGTGTGTGCCACATGCGATTCACAGTCGGATTAGCTTTCAACGACCGTCCGTTTCGCGCAGACAACGTTTCATATCCTGATATCCTGCTGCCGGCAAGTTTGCCCAAAGTTTTTGCCGCCGCTGTCGCTTTTCCTCCAGCTCCAGCTCCTGCTCCAGCTCCTGCTGCTGCTCCGGCTCCTGTTCCGCTTGGCACAATCAGCTGCTGTTGAATTTTTAATTTTTATGTTAGTAATTTCTCAACATTCTGTTTGACTGTCTGGCGGCGTGGCAGCGGCAACAGGAAGCTCTTTTCGAGAGAACATCTTGTGCGCGCATATTAAATTTGCTTTTATTTAGTTTTTCTTGCCTTTCTATATACCCTGTATATCCTTAAAACGGATGTAACAGGCAGCTGGCGGCATTTTTAATCCGACAAAGGTTTATACATATTCCTGATGTTTATCCTTCGAAATCGAAATGGCTTAGCCGAGTTAGGTTGACACAAACCAACCTCGAATATTAAAATCGATTCCGTTTCGACTAAAGAGAGTTTTATTGCAGGGTAACACCTAGTTGAGAACTCTCTGCCCAAATAGTTAGTTATTTTTATACGCATATCTCTGTGTTGGGCAGGCGTGAAAATAAAGTAGGACCAGGACCAGGACCAGACGGAGGTAACAGACATTCTTGACTGCGCAGTTTCGCAAGTGGAGTTTCTTCTCATTTTTTTTTATTATGGTCAGGCCATTGACTGTGGCATTTATGTATGTGCATATATAAATATATTAGTGGGCTGTAAGCTGCAAATGTGGGTTAAAAATCAACTGGAATGCAATTCCTGGGCTTTGCCAAAAAGCTCAGGCTGGCAAATTGAAAGGCGAGGTTAAACAAGTGTGGCCCAAGAGAGTTTTTCATTGCGTGCCAAAAGGAAGTAGAAAATATGTACTCAAGTTTCGAATTCCCTGACAATATAGGCCGTAGTTGGTTTTAATATTGCGTTTATATAACTGCAGGCAATTCTTAAAGTTTTAAAGTATTTGTTATTGATTTAAAAAAGTTGAACAAATTATTTGCTGCGTATTTTATGCCATGTTCATTTGAATTGGAATTGCGACTGGGTTATTGCCGACTCGTTGCACACGCGCGCGTGCACTGACAATATATAAACCTTGCTGCCACGCCCACTTGTGTGGCCGCCGCAGCACACGAGGCGGGTTTTGAGCTGTAACAAAACCAATTTACGAGAAGCGCAACTGAAACTGCGCTGGCAACTGCCGCCAGCCACAACTATATTATATAAATATTTCAATAAAGCCACACAGATACAGACGCCCGCACACACACGCACACACACACGTGTCATGGCAGAGCAGCAGTCACCGGAGCAACTGCATCCACTGCAGCAGCAGCAACGGCGGCAGCAGAAGCCAACACGATGCCAAAAGCAAACATAATTTAAAATGTAATTAGTGCTCAAATAAAAAGCCAAACAAACAGAGCAAAGCCCAGTTGGCAGCGGGGGGAGTCAAGTGCACAGCTACCTGTGTTACCTGGTGTATGGGGGCGAGTGGGCGTGGCAGTGGCAATGCAAACAAATTGCTAAAGCAAATGAAAGCCGCTCGGGTAGCGGCCCAAGTCAATGAATATCACCGGGTTACTAGGTGACCCACTGCCGGATTGCCGGATTGCACTCTGGACACATCCCAGCGGGAGGCAGCGACAGCCACGCCCTCAATTACAACTGCAGTGCAAAAAAAGAAAACTTTGTCCTAGACCAACTTTCAACTGACTGCCATCTGCCATCTGCCAGCTGCCACTTGCCACCTGCCACCTGCCACCTGCTGGCGTTGCTATTTTTCTTTTGAAACATTTTTATTATATTTGCTGCTGTATTATTCAGAGCTCTCCGGATGCGATTCGTTCCGGTTTCGGTTTCGACTATCTGTCTGTGTGTGTGTGTGTAAACGTGGCATATTTTTTGTCGAGTTGCCACCGTGTTGTTGCATTCAGCGGTTTCAAGGCTCACGGCGCTAGCTATTGATGATGCTGCAGTGTTGCCGCCTCCCACCACACCCCCGCTTGAGGTTAATGAGCAAACTTGCTAACAACTCGCAATTCGCAACTTGCAACTTGCAACTCGCAACTCGACCCGGCTGCGCTCATTATGCAGTGCACCCAGAATATCCTTTTTGGGCCGCAGCTAACAGCACTCGACGCTGCTTGAAGGTCCTTCAGCTGGCCATTTGTCGGCATTCGCTTTGTTCTCGCGCCCTTCTGCTGCCACTTCAGAGTTCGCTGTGTGGGCGCGGGACACTAATTTAGATTTTAAGTAGTCTTCCTCAGCACTTGTACAACTCATTAAGCTGCATATTTTTTATTTCAACTTAAGCTCACTTCTCTGCTTTGCTTCTCTCTCTCTCTCTCCCGTTTTATAGACTGGCGCAGCACGGACAGCACCGACCATCACGATCGCGTACAGCGACAATTGTCGGTCTCGTCGGACAGCAAACTGCTGGATGAGGATATCAGGGAGGAGATGAAGTATCATTCGCATGTCGTCATGCGACCCAAGAAGCCGCCCAGACCCAAGTCCGAGGTGTTTCTCAACAAACAAGATCCACTTCCGCGACGAAAACGTTTCAGTGCATTTGGTGTAAGTACTTCAAAGCATTTTCCCCACTCGCATCAATTTCAGTCAATTTTCGCACTCACATTGTCTAACCGTACTTTATGGCTGGTCATTTGATAAATATATATATATATATATATATCTTTATATAGAGCTGGTCTCAATATATATCTATAGTTAACTTTGTCTATTTACGTGTGCTGCTCGTCTGTTGAAGCGCGTAAATTGTTGCATACTTCTGTGCGCGGTCTGCGCACAGTTGCGCGCTTGCAATTCTCAAATGGTTTTAGCTGCGTCTGCATCTAGTGCGCGCTGTTGTGAAGGACAAATCGAATTGAAAATATTTTTATCTCTTTGAAATTTGTCCTGGTGGGACCCTTTGCTTAGGCATTGAGTGTTCCGAATAAATAAATTCATCAAATAAAAACAATTGGCTCAAGTTAATATTCATATTTTTTGTGCAATAGTACTCATAGCGAGGCATATGGAATTTTCGTTAGAGATAAAGCTTGGAAGGAAACATGATAAGAGGAACTTCTTGTTTCGTATATTATGAAACGGTAGATTTCAATACTAGTTTTATGTGTTATTATTGCTCGGCATTGTCTGGCTCAAGTATTTTCTCTATAAATTTAATACCTTTTGTTTCCGTCCGTGCTTCGTCGTTTTGTTTACGTTTTGTGTAATATCTGTCTAAGGACGCTGCAGGAAAATAGAGAACGCATAAACAAGATTTTGATAAAGAACTTCTTTTCGTTATTTATAAACTAACTCAATTTCATAAGCGTATGGGATATTTGTATCATATGCTAAGATATTTAAACCTTACATTGACAGCTAATGGAAGTTATGTATATGTATAACAACTATTGAGCTTGAAGGTGACAAAATTAAATAGATTACTCTAATATGAAATTATAGAATCCTTGAAGATTTTGCACCGTTTCTCGCTTCTCTTGCTCAAACCCAAGCCAAGCTTCCTAGTTTCCATCTGTAGAATCTAGGTCTACTGTGTGGTACAGGCACAGATCCCAGTGCAGCCAATTCAGCTCTTTTCGGGCTTCATTTTTCAGAGGGCAGAAAACAGTTCAAATATTATAGTGATATAGCTTATGAACTAACTTAGTTTTCTTAGTTTTGGAAAAAAGTGCTTAAATTACTATTGATTTTTGATCAGAAATGAATTTGTTAATATGTCGGTTCACATTCATTTTTAATTTGATAAATTTGAATGTAAATTGCATTTAAAATAGCATATATGACAGTTTTTCCAGCCAGTTAACGGAAATTAAATAATCAAATTTAATTGAAAAGCGAATCATTCGTTATTTTCCCTTCTTGCTGTTGCATACTCTTGTGCGGCTGCGTTTTAAGTATTTGAGTGCATACTTTTCGGCAGCACTTTAAAACAATTTCACTCGATACGAATTGTCTATCTCGTAAATTAAGAAGAACCTTAAAAACTCTTTTGGCTAATTGGAACATTTTGTCACACATACAGGGCGATTCACCATTTGGCAAGCAGGAGGCCTACGTCAAACTGGAACCGCTCGGTGAAGGCTCCTATGCGACAGTCTACAAAGGATTTAGCAAGTGAGTACAAACACACGCACACACACACACACACACATATACATATATGGAGTGGGGAAACGGAAGCCAACTGTGCGCCATAAATCAAGGAAGCGGGTCGCCTTGTGGTCCTCAAATTGGGTTGCCATGTCAGTGGGTTAGGCAAAATTATTGCTGTCGACTTACGGGCCCTGTCAGCCTCCCATGAATTTTGACGAGCTCCAAAACTGACGAATAGCAGGAAGGAGAGGGTTGGTCCTGCACTTGCCGCTGCGCCTAAATCAAATGCCTTTTAAGCTAAAATGTGTGACAATGCCGCCGTCGCCTCTTCCCAGTTTTTCTCTTGATTTATTTACAAATGTTGTCCCGGCACATTTTGTTGCCTTATTTATTTATTTTTTCTCCTTTTCATTGCTGCCTTTTGCAGGCAGCCCCTCCCATTATAAACTAGCTAACATATATACTATTTGTATGGAGCTGCTGGCAGACTCATTACAGAGCCCGACCGAGTTCCCGAGACCGAGTTGCAGACGCGCAGCCTCTTTCCCAGTTGCCATGCAAATGCGGCTATCAATCAGGCGCTGGGCAAGCGGTGCGGGGCACACAGAAAAAATGGGTAAACAACAACAATGGACAGCAGCAGCAGCAGCAGCAGCAGCAGCAATGCAACAACAATGGGGCGAACACGCTTAGAAACAAGCAAGAATGGCTAAGTAAGGCAAGCCGAATGCTAAATACACTTATAGACATACGACTTAAGGGCTTGCTTACATGTGGGGAGCTCACAATTCCTGCGTTTGACTGAACTAACTCCCAAGGCAGAAAAGGTATTAATACAAAAACTCATTTTACGATCGATTCGTACTATAGAGCCATATGGTATAGTTGTCCGATACTGAAAAGATTTAATTCTTATGTGTGGACCAGGATATAACTAATGAATGGAAAGATTGGTCAAAAATCTTAAAAGAAGTTTTTCATGAAAAATCTTAAATTTTCTCTAGTCGTTCCTACGGCAGCTATACGATAAAGGTGTCCTATCGTGGCTAGGTTTGGTTATAAATTCCAATTGCACCTAAAGGATATGATGTTCCGATCTAGCTGATTTCGACAAAAGACAAAAGAATAAAAATGTAGGATTATAGCATTAAAACTGAGGGCCTTCTTTGCATAGTAACAGACAGTAGGATTGACAGACATTGCTATATCGACTCGGTTATTGAGATTGATCAAGAATATATAGTAAAAACTCTCTCCCTAATTTATAATGACACTCCTATTAGACAGATAACCCTCTTAGGCGAACATTTTCACTGCATATGCAGTGATAACTCTGTTAACGGACTTTCCCATAAGGTGAACACCTTTCTTGGGTGGTCAAAAATTAATCAAGAGAGTTTTAACCGTACTTTATGGGGTCAGAGACATCTCCTTTGTTACATATTTAATGAAAAAGTTATAACGCCCTCACCAAGGGCATTGTCGCTGTTGTTGTTGTTGTTGTTGGTGCTGTTTAGTTGGGTCCACAATTGTTGTTTGGTTTTTTGGGATCTTGACGCACTTTTCAAAGCCTGTGCGTAACCCTTTTCCTTGCTGCTTCCTTTGACACAATTGAGTTGGCAGTCCCAGTCCCGCCCAGGAAACCAGCCCCTGACACCGCCCCTGCCCCTCCCCGCTCTCCCTTTTCGTACTCCTTAACAAATGCCGCCTCATTTGCGCCTGCTCTGATTTTGAGCTGCCTGCGTCTCTCATAATTTGACAAATGAGCCCCAGCAAAAAAGCAGCAAGAGCAAGCATCGTCACCTTTTTGACAGCAGAGGCTACTTATATATATGTACGGGAGGGGAGAGTGAGTTGGGGGGGAGGTGTCTTGGGTGATGAATTCCCTGTGCTGTCAGTTGCATTGGCCACGAGTCTCCGTGCGACTCACGTTTGCTTTTGCTGCCTGTTTTGCTGATTTATTTGACAATCATTTGCACAGCTCCAACCGCCGCCCCCAGCCCGTCCCCATCCTCAAACTCAACCTCACCCTCATCCTGTTGAAGTTCTTTAACAATGGGCATTTACGGGAAAAACAAGAAAAGTTGGTTTTCTTCTGGTTCTCATTAGGCATGCAGAGCGGGTCACATGCGAAATGAGTTCCAATTAGCTTTGTTTATTCGGAATGCAATTAATTCGCTCTAATTTATCTGGGCAAAAGGAAAAGTGTGCTGAAAATAGGAAATGGCAAACGGCAAATGGCAAATGGAAAATGCAAATGGAAAATTTGACAACTTGCGAGCTGCCTTTTCAGCTGAATTCGTGCGCTCTGCTTCGCCTGCTGATTAGCATTTCATACGCAGCACGCAGATTTGGGTCAGCGCTTCGCTTTTGACTTTTTGCTTGGCTTGGCTATTACTGCCGCTGCTTTTGGCCAAGATTTATGCGCTCTGCTTTTTGGCCATCCTTCAGAGTTTACGCTTTGGCCTGCTGCGCTGTGCTGTGCGTCAATTGTTGAAGATTTTATGAATGATTTCACTTCAGTTCTCGGTTTTCTCTTTGGGCTTGAACTTTTGGCTTTAACTAAAGTCTGATTAGCATTTAGTGGGTCAACTGTCAGCTGTAGCGCCATCTGGCGGCGGCTGCCTGCAGCCAATGAAGAAAACTTTTCTGCTTGACGGCAAAACTTTCGACGACTTTCGGCGCTTAACTAAATCGTATTATTTTTACATTAACGTGAACTAAGTTTCGCATATCCTTCCACATGGCTGTCATAAGTGTTTCGAGCACTCTGCGTGCCCTTATCGAATGCCTGCCACGCCCCCGTTATAGCAGCTGCCCAACCACACACATACACGCTGACCCAGTTAGAAATTATCAAACGCTGGCGGCATTTGCAGCAGCAGCAGCAGCAGCAGCAGCAGCTTCTCATACATTTTTCATGGACTTTGAGGTGGTCTCCCCGAACCCCACCAAACCCCGCGACCCCAGCCGCAGCCAGAGCTGCACCCACAGCACCACAGCCGTGTATTCGTGTATTCCTTGTTGTTGTGCTCGTGTAATTTGCCTGAGACACTCGTCGACAACGGCGACAGCAGCTGCTGGTTACATGGAAATTTCGCATGTCGCACGGAGCAGAGGATGTGCAAAGACATAAGCTCTTTATGGCATTCGCTTTGGCGGTTATAAAAGAGCGCGTGCTTCACAACACTTGCCATCGCATAAAGGGCTTAATTGATAACGTTGCGGCTGCCAGAGGGCGTAGAGCATGTGTCACGCCCCACAATCTCACCTCAAAGCGATATCTACCCGAAAAGCATCAATCTAGAGCCCAAAGTTTGATGATGATATAAAAAACGATCCTTAAATTTATATAAACAAGAAGTATTGTAAATGCTTGATTCCACATAAAAATGGTTTATGCTCGAATAAAGTGCTAGACTTTAGATTGCATGTGAAGAATGTTTTTTGGCATAGAAACAACTAGAAGAATTTTTACGGTTTTTTAAAGTTATCCAAGTTTTCAAGTACTTATATAGAAATCAAGAATTCAAATAAATATATATTGAATATTTTATTAAATTTATTGTTTTGGGCAATTGTCTTTTCTCTCTTCCGTTTATAATAAATTTCCCTAAACAATTGACTTGTATTTTCATTAGTTTTCCTAGCATGTCCCCAATGAAATTCCCAGCTAGTTATCTGAACTAAAAGAATGTCCCCTGTTTAGTGTATTGCTTTGTATGACATTACACAAAATTGACTATTAATATGGGGTATCATTTCTTTAGCTAGCATACCCCTACTTAAATTTTTACTAAAACCTGTCTTTTAGCAAGTCTAGAATATTTAATTTAAACAATCGACTTGTATTTTCATTAGTTTTGCTAGCATACCCCCAATGAAATTAACAGCTAGCTATCGGAACTAAATAAAATTCCCTTATTGGGCGTTTTTCTGAATATGCTATTACACAAATTAGGTAAAACTTTGTTTCATCAGCTAGCTGAGCCCTACTTAAGTTCTTTCGAATGTCAATTTCGAAGCGCCTTTTAACCAAGTTAGTTTGATTAGCTATCAGCCGGTTGCTGGGTTAATTTAATGTACATTATCTATCGCTCAGTAGCTGCTCATTACGCACGACATCATCATCATCATCATCATCATTAACCGACCAAGAGAAGCTCTTAGCTGAAACAGTTTTTGGTTGCCTAACATCCAAATGCCAATTAGCTGAAATCGCGACGCTTTCGCTAACTGAATTAACTCTCAGCCTGGGCTCAACGCCCGCGCTTTGACACATTCGAGTGGACCAGACAAACCCTCCACAGCGTTCATTCAAAGACCTTTTTGCTGCTCTTGAGTCATAAAAAAAAAAAAAACTTTGCTCAATTTTTGCCAGCACTTTGCTCAACTACGCAACTCAAAGCGTAAATCAGCTACTTTATGACTGGGATTTTGGCGTGTTCTCTTGCTTTTATGGAACCTAGCAGGTTCCAAGCGGACACCCAACTGGAGTCGCAGTGGGAGTCGGAGTCAGTTCCAATTAGAATTTGCTGGGGCCAAAGGACGTCTCATAAATTCTTAGCGGTGTCAAATAATTTAACCTAATTTGACACTTCAAATGTGCGGCTTAGGGAGAACTGAGAGAGAGCGGGTGGGAGGGCGTGGCTGCCATGTCAGTGTCTGGGCCTGGCCTTATCCTAATTTAAGTGTTTGCGGCACATTTCTGTGCGTACTTTTGTTGGCTCGTTATGTCTGTTTAATGTATGCCCAGGCCCAACTGCTCCCCACTACCCCCCAATCCCCCTGCGGCAGCTTCGGCTCCTACATGACTTGCGGCAAGGACAATGTGGGTGCCCCAGAGCGCCTGCGAGGGGCCGTCCGCCTAATGCCGTGTAGGTCTCTGGACATCTGTTCGCTTGTACAAGTCGCATGTTTGGGCTGTGGGCTTTGACTCTTGTGTATTTATTTTATTAATTCCTTATCCACGTTCTTACACACACACACACACAGATTAACCTACCAGCGTGTTGCACTGAAGGAGATCCGTCTGCAGGAGGAGGAGGGCGCCCCATTCACGGCCATACGGGAGGCGTCGCTGCTAAAAGAACTGAAACACAGCAACATTGTGACCCTGCACGATATCGTGCACACCCGCGAGACGCTGACCTTTGTCTTTGAATATGTGGTGAGTAGCGCACTGAAAGGCCGATGCCACAGAGAATTGCCCTGCTTAAGTTGATGTGTGTTGCCCTTGCAGAATACCGATCTATCGCAATATATGGAGAAGCATCCGGGTGGCCTGGACCATCGCAATGTGCGTCTGTTCCTTTTCCAGCTCCTGCGCGGTCTCTCCTACTGCCACAAGCGTCGCGTCCTCCATCGCGATGTTAAGCCACAGAATCTGCTAATCAGCGACTGTGGCGAACTGAAGCTTGCCGATTTTGGCCTGGCCCGTGCCAAGAGCGTGCCCAGCCACACGTATTCACATGAAGTGGTTACGTTATGGTACCGTCCACCAGGTGAGTCCAAATATTAAATAAACACCAGCTGAATATTCTTTGAGTTTTCGCCTGAGTTGAAGGTAAATCAAATGGTTCATTTGTTAGTTTTGCATCACTTAAAGAACTTTCACATACTGTTAAGAACTATCTGAAATGTGAATGATTATCTACTTGCTGGAATTAACCAATATATATGTTCATATAACATTAAATGAATCGATTTTAGATTTTTGAAAAATGTGAATTTTATTTTTCATACTAATTTAGATATTCATTGTAATGCAACACTTAGTGAACTCATTTATTTGCTAGTTTTGCAACACACAACACAGAATTTTCAGAAACTGTTAAGAGCTTTATAAAATGGGAAAGTTAATTCTCCTGCTAAAAGAACTCATTAAACCAAATGCTTAAACCTCATGTTAGTTTAACACTCAATAAGCTAGTGCCTTTGTTCAATAAAGAACTTTAAACTTGTTTACACAACACTGGATGAACTAGCACATTTGCTTGCTTTACAGCACTTGAAAATTTTAATTTGCTTTCAACAAAAAAGTTCTTCCGCATAGATAATTGCTAGTAGAAAAAACTGCGAAAAATAAGATTAATATTGGTTTGAGGTTTTTCCATTAAGCATTTTCAATTTTAGCGCAGAGCTGAAAGCAGATTAATTTTAATATACGACTAAATAGACAACGTCCAATGGGTAAACAATTCATTTTGCTTTTTTAGTCTTAAACAAATTTCCTATCAATTTGCAGCGCTAAATTGAAAAAAAGCACTAGAGGGATATATGCTGAGAGAGAGAAGGAGAGAGGTAGAGAGGTAGAGAGGGAGAGAATAAGAGAGTAGCAGAGAGAATAAAGTTAATTTTTTAATATGCAATTCCCTCGACATAAACAGTTTGTGTGAACTCAAGCGGCTGCCTGCTGCTCCTGCTGCTCCCTAGACTGACCTCAACGGGCAAGTCAAAGCATGTTAAACAAATTTAATCTGCACTTCTTAGCAGACAAGCAGACTCTTGACCAGCGGGTGGCAGGAGCAGGAAGAGCAGCTCCAGCAGCAGCAGCAGCCGCCGAGAGCCAAGTGGATGCATGCAAACGTGCGGATGTGGTTGGCCAACAGGACTGGGGCTTAGGTTTTGGTTGGGTTTGTGTGTCCCACCTGTGCCACGTTTTTTATGTGTGCTCAAAACTTTGTTTAGCCGCTGCTTCAAGGGTCAGCCGAGATAAGCGCTAAGGCGACCTCTGCTTGGCTGTCAGTCAGTGTGTCACGCTGTCATTCCATGTGGCTAGCAGGGCGACTGGACTGGACTGGCCGGCTGGCTGGCGTAACAGCTCTGTTTATTTATTTAAAATTGCAATTTATTTTCAAACAAAAAGTGCATTTACCTAACGAAGCAACGACGAACTCTCTTGTCCCCGTTTATATAGATGTACTGCTGGGCAGCACAGAGTACTCCACGTCGCTGGACATGTGGGGCGTTGGCTGTATATTTGTGGAGATGGTGACTGGTATGCCAACATTCCCGGGCATACGTGATACATACGATCAGCTGGATAAGATATTCAAATTGCTGGGCACGCCCACCGAGGACACGTGGCAGGGCGTCACACATTTCCCAGGCTACAAACCGCACAAGTTGGGTGAGTAATTGGCCAGCAGCAGCAGCAGCAGACTGCATCTTTCTATTTTTGCAAAACTAATTTGGCTTCATTTGGCATGCATTGGTGCAGGTTTCTATCGACCACGGAAACTGGGTCACAATTTTCCACGGCTGTACGACATTATCGAGGGCGAGACGATAGCGAACGCGTTCCTGCAGCTCAATCCCGAGCAGCGCATCGGCGCCGAGGAGGCACTGCTGCATCCCTACTTTGCGCAATTGCCAAAGAAACTCTACGAATTGCCAGACGGTAGGAATTTTAAATACAATTTAAATTTCAAATTAAATGAATATATTCAACATTTACAAGCCAATATTTGGGGCCTGCCGCATTGTCTCTGACGGTGGCAAAGAAAACCAATTAAAATGCAACACAACAAATTTTGTTTGTCCTCAACTTTTGCAGTTGCCATAAACAGAGCGGGCCTCCCCCCTTTGCGTCCCAGCTCGGGCGCCTTCCAATTGAACTACACAACTCATTTAAGTTTGTGCGACAAACTTGGCCAGGCAACTGCCTGTTGTCTGTCTGTCTGTCTGTCTGTTGACTGCTTAAATAATGTTTGCCTGGCTAAAACAGCTACCAATTTTACTGTTTACAGTTAACAATAATTACACTTTTTGCGTTTTAATTTGTGTGTGCCTCGACTGGGCAGGCGAAAAAGAAAAGAATTTTCTGCAACAAGTCGCAAGTTGCCAAGAGCAACAGTGGAAAACCCATTTGTGTGTGGCAACTGGCAACGCTCTAAGAGCAACTAGTTAATTTGCCCCAAGCCAGTTAAATATGCCCAAAAAATGCAGACAAAGCAGCAGCAGGCACGTGCAAAGAGAGAAGCTTGCAGATAAGTTTAACTAGGCTCCCGAGAAGCCTGTGCATAGTTAATTCTTTTTTACTTCATTTTTGGCTCTCTGTGGGATAGTTAAAAAGTACATACTATATATAAGATGTTATTTATATACATACCAACGTTTCAGGTAGTCGCCAGAGGCATAGAGAGAAGCGATAAGAGAAGCTCTTTATAGCAATATGTTTCACAATTTCGAACTGGACTTACTAAATTTAATTTTTTTGAATGCTGCAGTTATTTTTTTAAGCTAAATTGAAATCTTTTTTAGTCACGCCCAGTCCATTTCTGATTATCTATAAAACTCCTTTTATACCACAATTTTGCCTGCAGATAGTCAAAATATTTGACTTAAGAGTAGATGGCTGCAAGTGAAGTCTAAAAAGCCCGTCCTTTGTTAGAGAAAACCCTTCAAATCAAAAATGTATTCACTTATTAGTGAATCAAAATTAATTTATTCATTTATGAAAAAATACAAATAATTAATGATTAATTATACATTTTTTCTTACAAGTGCAAAGGTTTGTCCTTGATGATATTAAACTAAAACAGATTAACCCAAGCCTTTTAAAAACTGCAAAGCATTTATGTTAGACTAAGGAAGTAGCATATATTAAGAATACATATTTGACTACTTTGGATATTATTAGATATTAGATATAGAAGTCCTTGGCAGAGGAGTCGTCTAAATCGCCCAAGCTTTCAGGCAGCCAATCAATGTATATCCGGGTTAGCCTCCCAGACTAGAAATATTTGAATAGTGAAATATCTGAGTCATAAGTTATAATTGCTAGTGTTAGTTTAAAAGTATGATGACTACATAATACCTACATATACCCTATATTAATTGAAATATTCTTAACCATCTGTGTTTCCGAACATCAACAAAGCTCTAATCCACCTCTTTCAAATTGTTTTTACAGTGGATATCAAGTATTTGTCAATCGCACCCGTTTGAGTAAATTATTTTGCCTTTTTATTTTAACTATATTGTTTATTCTGATCAGCATATTGGGATTTTATATAATCTATGTAATAATAATGATTATTTAACTACAATATTGCTTATACATTGAGTTAATCCTGATATTCTATGAATTTTCAATGTGCATTAGTCAAAGCTCTCGTAAATCTTCTGCTTGAATCCTCATAGCAAACGCATTCAGCAAAAATCGTTTAAGCAAAATAAGTTTCAGCAGCTTTCTGCATTAATTACGCTCGGCTCAGTCCTGCATGCGATTTGCAATTGTAAATGGAAATAATTTGGCCCAATGGAGCCTCCTGTTTGGGGAAAAACAGAATTCGGAATATAAGTACCAAACGACGCATCGAACGTTGCAATTTGGCAAGTGCATTCATTGGCCCGGCGCAAAGGAGGGGCCTCTCGAGGCTTTGGCTGGGTAATGAATGCAGCCAAAGGCGAGGGGAGGGGCCTAGACTAATGTCCATTTAATGGATGGGTAGCTTAATGTGCGCTTAAAATGTGATTAACTGTGATTTGTATATATTCCCACATCCGTCTAAACATCCGGCGCACTCTTGGCTATTTACAAAACTTGTAAATATGCTAATTTTGGTCAAAATTGAAATCAGAGCTCACAGGTGGACTCATTTGGGGCAGGTGCGTTTGCAACTGCTGTTTGTTCATTAAACATGCTCTCTCCTCTCCCTCACTCTCTTTCTCTCTCCCTCGCTCCTGTTGCGGCTGCAGCTTTAACAGTTTTCAGATAAAATCAATTAAAACGCAACTAATGTGCGGCATTTATCATGGTGCCCAGCAGCCGGATAAGGTCAATGCACAGCCAAAAACCGCAGCAGTTGAGCGTGTGAGCATTGCGGTTTTCCCGGGGTTGGTTCCACAGCCCAGAGCGTGCAAAGTGGGTGGGCGTGGCACACACACCCTTTCGGCAAAATGAAATTTGCTTTGCATTTAAATTGCCAGCCGCCTGTCTGCGAGTATATTAAATAATATCCAGTGAACAAATGTTGTCATACTGTTGAAGTTTTTAATTAAGAAAAAAATTGTACAAAAAATGAATAATAATAATAAATTGCACATATCATTTACTCTTCGCAGAAACCTCAATTTTCACCGTGGAAGGCGTGCAGCTGCATACAGAACCGAATCGACAGAATAAATGAAAATTAAAGCAGGTCCTCTCAGTGGATGGCGTACGTTTCTATTGTTAGACCAAAATACGATCTACAACAAATATCAGCCCAACAACAACCCAGCTACACCCAGCAACTAAACAACCCACTAAACAACCCACAAAACAACCCAGCAAACAACTCAGCAACAAACAACAACAAACAACAACAACAACTACAATCGGCAGCCATAATGAAAAGTGTACGAAAAATAACGAGTTTTGTACCATAATTTGTCAAATTCTTAGTTCGATTTCAGATTGTGAATTTCAGTGGGCGCGAGAGAGGAGTGGGAAGGGGGAGGGGAAGGAGGAGGGGAACAGCGACAGCATTTCAGTCAAATTCGTGCCTGGGCATTAGTTAGTTTAGTTATTTAAGCTATCAACGTCGTCTTCTTAGCGCCTTCATCAATAAGGATACTCAGTTTAGTCAATTATTGTTTTTCGCAACAGGAGTACGGACTTTTCGAAAGTTTATTTTTTTTAAATTTATATGAAATTTATACTACAGATTTTTTTGCAAGAAAAGTATTTCGTTTTCATTTCTCTAGTTTTTTGATTAAGCAAAAAGCAAATATTGTAGATTTTTCTGTTGTGCTGTCTGTGTATACAAAAAGAAAAAGTCCAATTATTCTTTGTGTTTGTTTTTCGTTTCTAAAAAAAATATATATAGAGTGCTGTGTTTGCTTCTACAGGGACAAGTTTAATAGGATTTCTCAAAAGTAAAGTTACAAAATTGAAATTAATATTAAATCAAGTCGAAATTGTTTTTTTTGTTTCTTGTATGCACGTAAATCATAAATTTAACTTTAAGTAGTTGCATTCAATTTATCTCTGTGTGTTTCCAACTGACTAACACAACCATTTCCTTATGGGTATGAGTCAAGACCCCGGGCTACCTAAGACAAGTTTATAGTTCCGATAAAGAAATCACCTAAAACCTTATGCCTATCTAAAGTTCTCTCACAATTCAATAAATATCATAGATTCATGTGTCTGCAAATGTCGGAAGCATAAACAGATCCTATAAAGCATATATATATGAATGTGTATGCATATTCCTTCCTTTGAACAACTATAAACTATAGCGTATATTTGTTTCAAATGTCTGTGAGAGTATTTAAGTTTCGGCTTGCGCCGATAGCCAGCTCTTGATTGTTTCATTTAAATACTATATTATTATTTTTAACGCTCTTTTGTCATTAAAAAGAAGAGGAAAAAACAAGAAAATTTTGCCGCGCTGTTTAAGTGATACATTTTTAATTATTATTAATTAAAATACAAATAATAAATGAATTTATGTATAAAGCAAACAATTAAAAAACAACAAAACAAATAAATTTAAATCATTTATACCGTATCGTTTGCTCTTGTTTCATATTTATTTCATTTATGTTTTTCTATATTAAAACACTTTTATGATTTCAGTGTCGCTGCTGTCCCACAACCAAAATTTAACCTACGAAATCGAACGAATTCCTAGTAAATAATAATAATAATAAAAAAATAATATAAGAATAAAATTCGAATAAAGCTGTTGAGGTAGTTACTTAAGAGATAAAACTAAATCATGGAAACACCACCAGGAGGAGAGGGCGTGAGTGGAAACTCCACGCGCAGGAGATTTAAAGCATATAGTTCATACAATAAACATTTTTGAAGCAAATCGAAACGAATGAATAGTTAAACTCAAATTAAACTAGAATTGAAAAAGTAGTAGTAAAAACGTTTTTAGCAGCAACAGCAAATAAATTCTAAATAAAATAGTCAGCCAACTAAAGCTAACATTAAAAAATAACCTTACCAAGTATTTTACATAGTGTCGTAGTTAAAATGAAATCCAATCGATCCATTTCCATGTTTAATGAAACGTTACGCAACACACACACAAAAGATGAGAGGACAAAGGGGAGAGTTCAGGAGAGAAATAACTAAATGTGCAAACTGAAATCAAAGACACTTCAAATGGTTTTGAAAGGTAAATGAATCAAAATGAATATCGGCGTGTAGAAGAGTAAGTAAGAGTAACAAAATAAACGTAGAGCAAAATATGTTAACAATTATTTACTTAAATCAATGCAAAATCTTGAGCAAAACGTAGGTGCCAGTGGCGCCCTCTGTGGCCCAATGGCCTATAACTTTTATGATGAAAAAAAAAAAAACAAAAAATATATCAAGAACATAAACTAATCGAGTTTAGAGTAAATTTGAATGAAATTACGACAGCGTCAAAGTAATGAATATTCTAAAAAACATTTTAAAAGTCAGACGCGCGCTTTTTAACACTGGCCGGCACTGTGCATTAACTTTGCGCAGTTACTGTTCGAGGCGGTCGAAGTTTTAGAGTGCGCGCGTTTTAGCAGCGTTTAAAAACGCAACAACAACAAAATTATATTTTGTAGTAGAAAATGAAAAACTTGATTATTAAAATAAAAAAGAATACATTAAACTAAATAGCGAAAAAAATAAACAAAAGAAAAACAATTTAATGAGAAAACTTTTTCTGTGATTTATGAAAAAAGTATGCAAAACCTAAAACAAGAATACGCAGCAAATTAAAAAAAAAAAAAAAAGCAAACAATTTAAAAATAAACTAGAGAAAAGAGTAAACAGTAAACCACATAAAAAATAAGCACTTTAGAGCGAACCAAATTAGATGCTGAGCCAAACGAAATTGTTTAGGATTATTTGCTAGCAAAAATGAATAGAAGACAACAATTGCACGCACGAAACAATTTACAAAGCAAACCGCAAACGAAACGGAAATTGAAATTGCAAAAAATTCTCAGCACTTAATCGTATAAACATTTCGTATTGTTTGTAATTTGTTTTGATTATTACCAGCTCACATTGAGTAAACATTTAGCAAAATACAAAAAAAGCAAAGCAGGCAAGCAACATTTTCAAAAAGAAAAACCACGAACAGGCAACATTTTTATAAAACACGAAACTGTATCGAGCAATGGAATGCACTTTTCGCACTTTTCCCATCCCGAGGTTACGTCCATAGTTTATAAGAGCCAAAGAGCCAATGAACAAATCGAACGAAACGCAATGATGAGCGCGATTTTTATTTAGCAATTATTTTTGATGATCACACATTGATCAAACGATGGATTCTTATTGAGTTCTGCAACAGGGCATCAGTTATATATATATATATATATATATATGTATATAAATATATATATAGAGCAACCTTTGTGTATGTAAATCTTGTTTTCATTGCACACAACACAAATTGGAGAGAAGCATTAAGCTAAAGTATATTAACTAAAGTAATCACAAAATGGTAATAACTAAGAATGTTTTTAGCTGAACGTGTCTCTAGTTGTATTCTATAGTAGCTAAGCGGTAAGGGTTCCCTCAAGTGAACCCGCAGGAACGAAAGGTAAAAATCAATATGAAATGGAAAAATCTCGAAACTCAGAACTCGAAGAAAACAAGTCGAATGAGGTATAACTAAATTATTTTTAATGCATTGAATTTGTCGTAAATATTTAACGTACCTTTGTTAAAAACAAAACAAAACAAAAATTGAATATATTAAAATATTAAATAATAACAAATCTATTACCACAAGACGCAAACAAGAGTCGATAGAAATTTTAAATAAATATATATATATAAATATATATTTATATTTATTTATTTCTCTCGGCGGAATGTAGATGCGTGTAGTTTTTATGTTTACACTGTAAGCATTATTTGTATAGTTGAAAGGGCAAAGGGTTAAACTCGCCTCGCACCACAGCCCCCGCGGGCCACAAAACGGCAGCGAGGGGCAGCGACAAAATGAGATTAACATAAATAATTTTTTTGTAAATATCTGTAGTTGATTTCTAAGTAGCGAAAAGAAAATCGAAACAAAACAAAACAAAACAAAAATGGCAAAGAACCCAAATTGAATGTTTATGATTTAATACAAACGAATAATGAATGGTAACTAAATACAATTTGAATAAGTTCAACCTGTACAATAATTTAATATTAAATAAAACGCAAGAAACCAAACAAAATTCAAATGAAAACTGCACGTTTCAATTGCCCTTGAACTTACAAACAAGTATATCTAGCTATGGGTATCGATATAGATATAGATATAGATATAGATACACTACAGATAGATATATGCATTGCATATACATACTTATATGTATCTGTATTTAAGCAGCTGCCGCATGACACACTTTGGAATTCGAGGCTGTCGGTCGCAGAATTGATGAATGCTTCGGTCGTTGCGTCTCCAAACGCATAAATAACAATGAAATCTAATAACATTTGATGACGACAAATAAAATAGTTTATGCGCAAACTAATTGACACAATTGAAGTGCTTTTCCTCTTCATTGAGATTCAGTTTGCGCTATATTTCACAAATCTCCCACAATTAAGACTTTCAGTGCTGAGCTGAGTTGTAATTATGCAAATGACAAAACTCTTTTTTTGGGCAACTAGCCCCGAGGCATGGCATCAAGCAACTTTTTTTTACCATAAATTGTTCATATTTTTTGCTTGATTTATTTTTGGACATGAATTTGCGTCATCGACTTGGCCAATCATCCGACTGGCTGCAGTCAAAGTCTATCGTTCCTCTGCCCGCTAAAGGTCTATCAGAGTTGGTGCATCTCCGCACGACTCCGCCAGCTGCTTGATTCCAGCTGCAAAAGGCAAAAGGTTTCCACAATGCACGATGACCGGTTAAAACCTTCAAAAACCCATAACAGACAGCAACAATTGCTTGGTAATTTAGCAACAACTACAACAACAACAAAATGACATAAAGCTGTAAGCTGAAAGCTGTAAAGCATTATCATCTAAAAGGTAACTTATTGTGGGCACAAGCTATATATATAGAAGTATATTTGTGATGACGCATCAAATTAAATCTTTCTGTATACAAATAGGCATAAATCGTAAGTACAAATTGCAACGGGAAGAACAGCTCTTCTCAGGTGCCGACTCTTACAAATCATGTTTATTTAATTGGCACATGATGAACTAATCTTAGGTCAACAAAAGTCTTGGAAAATAGTAAAAACTATAATTAAAATAAAGTAGTCGGATATTATGTAGAAACCTTTTAATAAAATCAACAATTTTAACTGCCTAACTGACTTACTGTAAAAATTACGTGGTTTTGGAAAATTAAACTCACAAGTGAGTATAATTGGTGCTCAAATACGGCCTACATACATTTAACTGAGATATTTGAATCTTCACATTTTTCAAAAACTTTTAATGACCATAAAACGTATTAGTAGTATTGGTAGTAATAGTACTATTGGTAGTATAAGTAGTAAGAGTAGTAAATCTAAATTTTCACCAAAATCGTCGAAATGGCAAGGGGTTACATCACGTTTTTGCTCAATTTCGGGGTCGGTTCGAAAATCAAAACTTTTTCAATGATTTTTATTGAATATCTCGGGTAAATGGTGTCTGATTTTAAAATGTTATACCTTTTTAAATTCGTACGGATCCCTACTATTGATTGGCGTTCAAAGATTTTAAAAATCGGTGGGTAAAAAAAGGTGGTTGACCAAAAACCGAGTCGGTTGTAAAATCATCCCTTTTTGATGATTTTTTGGCATATCTCGGCTAAATAATGTCCGATTTGGGAATTTTATACCATTTTGGACTCGTAAGGATCAGCACTATCAATTGGCATCAAAAGAATGAAAATCTAAATTTTCACCAAAATCGTCGAAATGGCAAGGGGTTACATCACGTTTTTTCTCAATTTCGGGGTCGGTTCGAAAATCAAAACTTTTTCGATGATTTTTATTGAATATCTCGGGTAAATGGTGTCTGATTTTAAAATGTTATACCTTTTTAAATTCGTACGGATCCCTACTATTAATTGGCGTTCAAAGATTTTAAAAATCGGTTGGTAAAAAAAGGTGGTTGACCAAAAACCGAGTTGGTTGTAAAATCATCCCTTTTTGATGATTTTTTGGCATATCTCGGCCAAATAATGTCCGATTTGGGAATTTTATACCATTTTGGACTCGTAAGGATCAGCACTATCAATTGGCATCAAAAGAATGAAAATCTAAATTTTCACCAAAATCGTCGAAATGGCAAGGGGTTACATCACGTTTTTTCTCAATTTCGGGGTCGGTTCGAAAATCAAAACTTTTTTGATGATTTTTATTGAATATCTCGGGTAAATGGTGTCTGATTTTAAAATGTTATACCTTTTTAAATTCGTACGGATCCCTACTATTAATTGGCGTTCAAAGATTTTAAAAATCGGTTGGTAAAAAAAGGTGGTTGACCAAAAACCGAGTTGGTTGTAAAATCATCCCTTTTTGATGATTTTTTGGCATATCTCGGCCAAATAATGTCCGATTTGGGAAT